TATATATATATACTAAGTTTATGCTACAAATAAGAGGTCATGGGCTTCGAAGCACATCCAAGTGCATAGGAGCATAAAGACCTATAAAGATTGATATAATTATGTGCTAAACAATTAGAGTTTATATTAAAATGATTGAAGTGAATGACATATAATCATGAAGTTAAGGCCTTGATATCTAAAATAACATTCTTTAGAGTCCAAGGAGGATCTTAGTCGAAATTAATAATATTAATGAGTTGAAGTGAATCAATAAAGGCTTTAAAGTGATGTAGATGGAGGAGCAAGGCTTGCTTTAATCCCTCCAAAATTATCATTTCCTCGGCGAGTGGATTGGAAACACAAGGAAAGTCACTAGCCATCAATAGGTTGCCTTCAGGATCTTTGAGGGCAAATCCACCACTTGTACCCATAGAAATAGGGCTATGAGAATGGTCATATTCCAAACTAAAAGGCGATATAAGAAGTGTTTTTCATTATTATTGATCCCCTCAGATCTTCTATAGCTAATAAAATTTTTAGAATCAACCATAGCCTTATAGAATAGGGATAGAAGAGTAGATTGATGATTGTAATTATTACGATATAACCAAGAAAGCTAAAGATAACTAGTAATAAAACTCCTAATCTAAAGTTCACCCTGAACCTCTAAGTTTGTTCCTTACTAAGGATCAAATAGAGGTAGCAAATTATACTAAAAAAGAAAATGTTTGGAGAAGTCAGTAAAGAGGTGACAAATCAAGTATAGTTACGATTGGAAGTGCAAGATTTGGGCAAATTGATCGGTTGTGAGTAGGCCCTTCTAAAAGTTTCCCAATGAAAGGTTTGATGGCAACTACAAGTTACCATAATGTCTTTCAACTCGTTTAATAATTTTTCTTATTCTAGTCATCCTCTTTGATAAATCTATATGTATCATTGGCGTTGATTCTACCTTTAGGGGTAATGGTCTAGATCCATGCATTAGCATAGGGGACTTGGGAATATGAATATGAAAGATACTTCAAATCAGAAGAGGGTGGAAAAGATCTTACAAAATAACTAAATTTCAGTTTCCTTTAATAATAAGATCGGATACGGTATCAATATTCATAGCAACATTAGTATTAAAGTAAGTGGGCCATCTACTTCAAGAAATATTACAAAGCCAAGGGTCATCCCAAACCTTTATGGTGCTACCAATATTGATGATTCTCTTAAGCTCGCTCTTAACAAGGGAAATCAAATGACAAAGACCACACCTAGTCTTAAAGATTCTATTTTGTTTATAATCAATATTTGAATATCTCCACTTTTAGTTTGTTGTATAGTGGCCTAAAGTTTATCTTCATGGTTTAACATAGGAAGGATCCATTAGGCACCAATAGATTTCTTGACTACTAGAAGGTCTTTAATTTTTAGGCCCCAATTATACTTGAATTTCATGATTGTATCATTATATATGCACTTATATTTGGAATAATTTTCAAGATAATTTCAAAGAAGTTCCTATTAAATTTACTCATGTTCCTAATAATCTGGTTAGAATTTCAAAAATTAAGAAGTGTGCAAATGGGTTAGAATTAATAACAAAGTTTATCGAAACAATCTTATTAACTTGAGAAAGAAATCCTTTTCATCGACTTTTAATCCTATCAAGAACTTTGTCAATTATTTATTTTACTCTAAAATCTCTCTACCATGAGGAAGAAAGGTACAAAGGTAGGCCATAAGCCAAGAACCCTCCTTAATACCAAGGACTTTATAAACTTTATTTTTGATAGTTGAAGCATAGTGCTTAAGAAAATAAATGTAAAACTAATCATAATTGATCTTGAGGTTGGTTAAGGTGGTAAAAAGATTTAAGGGATGAGAGGATGCTCCTACAGGTCTTGTCATTTGTGCAAAAGGAGATGACAATATTATTAATAAATATGAGGTGAGATATTTTAATACCTTTAATATTAAAATATGTAAATTTATTCGAATCAATGAGTTAAAATACTTCAGTACATGAAATGATTGTTAAAAGGACCTATTGAACAAAAATATATAGGTATGGGATACAGATCCCTAGATCCCTAGGGAGGAGAGGATAAGCAAGTGAAGGTCCAAGAAATAAATTTAAATGGAAAGTTCATGAGATCCCAAATTTTTGTGATGGCATCCCAAGAAATGCAATCAAAAGGCTTTGTAAGAAGATATTCCTTTAGAATAGGATATAGAGTTAGCTAATTCATTCTAAATCAAGATATTGTAATAGATAGGTATAAAAGCATATTGCTCTTGTTGAATCGATCAACAAATGTAAGGTTTCAATCGAGAAACTTACTTTGAAAATGAGTTTGCAAATGACATTACATATAGCAATTGGTCTAAACTCTTCAATTTAGTTAAAATTATCTTTCTTGGGGATGAAGGCAAGAAAGTTTTTACCCTAATTAGGGAATAATATTTTTATTTATAAAAGATATTAAAAGCTTAAAGGATGCTTATCTTAAGGGCGTTTCATTAGTGAGAGTTAGAAATGTGTTCCCTATTAGAGTCTTGGATTTGAGGAATGGAAGAGATAGAGGTCCAGTTGCTTGGTATCTCAGAAGTAGAAAAGTGGAGAAGCATTTCACTCTGGTTCTGAGTAGAGTGGTCATTGTCAAGGTTAAGAAGGCTAATGTATTTTTTTTACTTTTTAAAAGTAACAATCTAACGATAGAAAGTAGTGTCTTTATTACCATTGGTATCCCAATTGATCTTAGTTCTAGCGAACCATTTGATGCGGATTGTCTATTTAAGATAATAAGTTTATTATGAAAGGATATCAACTTTAATTATTCATAGAGAGAGATAAGATTAGCAAAAGTTTTTTTGTTCGAAGAGGATATTTCATTGGTCGTAGCTTTAATGGAGTGTTCAAGGTTGTGACCATTGTTGCTAGTCCAATAAAATAGATGGTTTGTAAGAGTGAGTTTGTATTGAAAGTCTTCTCCTAGGGGTCACTAGGATACATATTATCATTGTCAAATGGAGTTAATAATCAGCTTAGACTCATCGTACTCAATCAAATAGGTGTCAAACTGAAAAAGTCTAGGACGTTTTACATTCCTTTCAAAGTTGCCAATATCAATTAGGGGAGGGGCATAGTCTAAGACAATCCTATCAAGGTGTTGGACAACAACCTTATCAAATATTGAAAACTGTTACTCTAAATGATTGTTATGAAAATTAAGATTGATTAAACTAGAGTTAAATAAGAAGATTTAAAAGTATATGATAGATTTCATGAGGAAATAAGGTTTGCCTCCAATTTTATTATTGGAAAAGGCAATGGCATTAAAATCCACACACAAAAACTAAGGGATATAATAGTATCAATTCTAGAATACATGTCCTAGAGAGAATGAATAGTTTGAGTTGATGTGCTAGCATAGATGGCCAAGAAGAGACATAGGGGCATACTTGAGGCTTCCATGATGAGATTGAGTGATTAGGCATTCTTATCGACTAGGCTCCTTAGAGAGAGTGAACTTTTCAAGTAATCAAAATGCCCACCGAGCAATCACTAGAAGTTACAAAATCTTCAAACAAAGACCATCCAAGTCATCGAAGAAAGTGACGACTATGATTCTCATGTATATGTCTCTAATAGGATGATGAGATCAAGATAGTGAGTTTTTATAAGGGTGTGAAGGTGTTACGATCGAGTCGACACTAAGTGTTGAATCTCGTATTTTGATGATGAAATCAATTGATAAATGTTTATGATTTGATATGCGTTCTGAGTGATGCAAGAAGCTTCGATCAAGGAGAGACATTTAAAGTAGGAAGAATCATGTTGGGCCGGAGAAACATGTCAGAAGATTGGACGTCGGGCCGGAGGATCGATTGACGTATCGATAGAAGGCTTCGAGCCATGGATTTGGGCATCGAGCCAAGAAGAGCGGATATTGTGCCAAGGATATCGGAGTTGCAGAGGTCAATTGACCGATTGGGCAATAGGTCGCAAGAGAGGACGATGCGCCGAAGAATC